TTTCATCCAGGATAATCTAGCCATTAAGAAATGCATAAATCAGACACAGCGCCTTTTTATCACCCTTCTCTGCGCAGCATCACTTCGCTCACCTCCACTCACCCTTAATGCTTTATTTATTTTCTCTAGCTTTTTCTAGTTTTTAGATTTAGACTCGCTTTCGAGCGGGTCTCTTCACTGCTTTATCGCCGTTTTCACCAGATTAATACTCGATTTGACTTCGTGACTTAAAATTCCTATGTTCGACCTGGAAATTCACCAGTTAAAGAGTATAAACAATTATGATAAACGATCCGGGGTCTACAACTACGATATTTTCTTTATATTTGATCACTCACAATAGTCCATCACACCTTAATTTTCGACCAAAATTCCCTATACTTGAATATATAAAATCGTTCGTGTCACCCACCGCAGTCAGTTGAAGGGTTCAAATACATGTAACTATATATATATATATATATGCTTCAGAAACTTATACATCCTAACTAATAATAACCATGAATCATTATCATCATTAACTATTTTTGTAACAACACACACGTACTCACTCACTTACATGAACCTCCTCCGTCATTAATCATTCTTGTTTTTTTTTATATATAAAAAATATAGAAATTAATTAATACTTTGAAAACCAAATGTCTAAGAAATATAATGAAAATCATATATTAGACAAAGCACATTAATCATCATAACGCATTAATCAACATACTCCCTCTTATGTGTTTCCACAATTCCAAGACTCTCTTTTAATTGATGAAGTTTGCTTTGGTGAAGATGTCCGCAACTTTACCATTACTCCTACAGTAGTTTAGCTCCATCATGTCTCCTTCAATAAGATCATGAATAAAATGATTCTTGATTGTGATGTGACAAGTGTGATTGTGATAAAATGGATATTTTTCCATAGAGAATGCCCATTTATTGTCACAAAACAATACAATAGCCTCTTTTTGTATCTCTCCGACATCCTCCAAAATCCTTCGCAACCAAATGAATTGGGATGTTGCAATGGCAGCTAAAATATACTATGTTTCATTTGATGATTACGCCATAGATTCTTGCTTCTTTAATGACCATGAAATCACACCTCAACCAAGAGAAAATGCGTAGCCAGAGGTGCTCTTCATATGATCAACACAATCTCTCCAATCGCTATTGCAATAACCATACAACTTAACAATTGAGTTCTTCTCAAATTTGATTCCAATTTTTTTCTTAAACTTGTTACCTCTAAGTGATCTCGGATTGTGCATAAACGTCAAAAAACTTGCGGAAAATTTAGTATCCAGCTTTGTAGCTGTAAGATACATCAAGTTTCTAACCATGCTCCTATAAAGAGAGACATCCACTTTCTTTGTGCCATCATTTTTCAACAATTTTTCACCAACTACAAGAGGAGTTTCGGTAAGATTGCAATCATCCATTCCAAACTTAACCAAAATATTTTCAACATATTTTTTTTGAAAAATGCTCACTTCATCACCATTTTGATGAATTTCCATTCCAAGGAAATGATCTAGCAAACGCAAATCGTTCATCTCATATCTCTTCGTCATATCTTTCTTAAATTCAAGAATCATCTCCTCATTATTTCCCGTATAGAGCAAATAATCAACATAAAGAGCAACAATGACTATAGATTTACCTTGAGTCTTAATGTATAGAATCGGCTTACTTTTGCTTTTTTGAAACATGTTACTCTGAAAATAAGCATCAATATTCTTGTACCAAGCACGAGGTGCTTGCTTCAACCGGTACAATGCTTTCTTCAATTTGTATACCTTGTCTTTATTGCCTTTCTTTAAGAAATCTTGTAGATGCTCATCATAAATTTCCTCTTGCACTCTCTATTCAAAAAGGCTAATTTGGCATCCAATTGATAAAGTTTTTAATCCTTTTGGGTTGCTATGGAGATAAGAGCTCGAATTGTGTTGAGTCGGGCTACCAGTGCAAAAGTTTCATTAAAATCAACTTAGGGTTGTTCTTTAGAAACTAATTGTGCCTTCTCTTCTGTGGAATAAAACTCATTTTTCATGGATTTTCTCCAATCTTCATACTTGTAAGATTTTTCAAAGCTTTCAGGCTCCAAGACACAAAAGTTGCACATTTCATAAATATCACTTGAACTTCTTAACTTATTTGGAGTTGACTCAAGAAAGGATGACATTCTCAAACTTGAACTGGAGAGTGATTGTGGACTGCTAGGTGGGTTTGGATGATCTTTTTGTTTTTTAGTTTTAGATTTCAAATCACTAATATGAACCACTTCTTTTATAATTTCCTTGTTCTTCAAATTCCTAGAACCATTCTTATTGAATAAAACATCACGGATAATTTTAACTTTGCTATCTTTCAAGTTCAAAAGCATGTAACCTTTCGATATGGTGTTGTACACAATAAAGATGTATTTTTCACTCACTTTCTACAACTTTTTTCCCCTCTCCTTTGGAACTCGAGAATGAAAAATGCATCCTAACACTTTCAAGTGCCTCAACAACGACTTTCTTCCACTCCAAGCTTCAAATGGAGTTTCGTTGTGCAAGGCCTTTGTGGGACTTCTATTAAACAAGTACACCGTTGTATTCACAACCTCTCCCCCAAAATATTTTGGTAATCCCTTTGTGTGAATAATGGATTTTCTCATCTCCACTACCATTTGGTTCTTCCGTTCACTTACTCCATTTTATTGAGCAGTATAACGGACAGTAAGTTGCCTATTTATGCCTTCAACTTCACAGACAGTTAATTACACACCCACTTTGCTTCTCAATGAGAGTTTTAAACTTCTTAAAAATGTCAAACACCTTTAATCATTGTTTCATAAAGTATATCTAAGTCATGTGAGTGAAATCGTCAATGAATAGGATAAAGTACCTATTTTTGGCATGACTTGGTATTTCCATGGGGCCCACATACATCTATATGAATTAGCTCTAGTTTCTCCTTAGCGTGCCAAGCACTTCGCTTGGGAAAAAATTGGCGATGATGTTTCCCAATGGCACATCTTTTTGCAAACTTCATGGATCTTATCAATTTTTGGAAAATCTTGAACCATGTTCTTGTGTTAAAGTAGCTTAAGGCTATGAAATTCAAGTGCCCAAGTGTTTTATGCCATAACCTTGAAAAAAAAATTCAAGTGTGTGAGCTTTCAAGGCGATATTTTCTTTATACTTGAAAACAACATAAGATTTTTCTCCATCTTGATTGAGGTGACCAACTACTACACACCACTTTTATCCAAGATTTTACATCAATTATCCCTAAACTTTACTGTATATTCGTGCTCCACAAGTTGCCCAACACTCAACAAATTTTTATCCAAATTCGAGACAAGTAAAATATCATGAATGTACTTTGCCCCCATTATTTTTTTTATGCAAAAATTATACTTTTTCCACACGTCTTTGCCCTAGGTCCATTTCGCATCTTCACTTGTGAGTCTTTGGAGGTATCCATATTTACAAAAAAAAAATTATTATCTCCCATCATTTGATTACTACAACCGCTATTCACACACCGTGCATCATTTTTGTTTTTCGCTTCACTTTGACAAGCATAAAGTAAATTCCCTTTACTTTAATTTTCTTCGGAAATAATGGGTCGACTGCTACATATTTTTGCTCTTGCAATCTTTCTCCTTGTGACTAAAGTTTTATAGTGGTAACATTTTGGTTTACCTTTAAAACGTCAATCGTCCGAACAATGACCAATTTTCCCATAAACAGTACAATTCTGCGAATTTTTTGCGTTCCTTACTCAATCAAAGGCTTGCCTTTTTCCATCAAATTTGTGTCTTCCTCCACCACTTTAACTTCTTTCTCGGCCTCGACTTTGTCCACCACCATACCTGCTTCCTCTTCTTTGATCACCTCTTTCACTAGTTTTTTCACCTTCTTTCAGATTTAGCTTAGTTTCGAAAGCACTATCGATTCATTTTTTAAAGTGTCTTTCCATTCTCTTCTAATGGGCTTTTAACGAACCTATCACATATTTGATTGTCAAGAAGATATATCCTTACTTTTTTAAATAACAATGACTATACTATTGTAACTTGGAGGCAAACTAACAAAAAATTTCTTCACCACTCTGCTATCTTTAATTTCATCACCAAATGATCTCATTTGGTTAATAATGCTCCTCTATTGAGTGTCGTAATTTGGGAAAACTTCAGATTCCTTCATTTTCAAATTCTTCAATTCCCTCCTTTAAGTGTTCGAATGCTAAAAATTTTTTATTTTCAAGTCACCTTAGAAATCTTTTATGAAGAATCTCTCAAGCTTTTTTTGTGGTCCTTGCTCTCATAATTCTTGAGAATAATTATGTTGACATACGTTGTTGGATGAACAAGAGAGCTTTGCAATCCTCTTTCGATTTTCCTTCAATATTTTTTGTGCACCATCGTCTAAATTCACCAGGTCATTAGGTTCTTCAAATCCATCTTCAGTATACTCCTACAAATCCTCAGAGATAAGTATCTTTTTCATCTTCACAACCCAATGGCCATAATTTTCTCCAAAAGAATAGAAATTGGTTGTCTGGGACATTTTCAAAGGGTAAATGTTGTGATGAAAGAAGAAAATGTGTTGTGGCTCTGATACCAATCTTTTTTTTTTTTATGACATGGGAACTTGCAGATGCTATTTTTCAAATGAGCTTTTGGTAAACCTCTGACCAATTCTAATAGTCCGGAAATTAGGTCCGACAAGTCAAGTCATACTAGGTGAATCATATGTGTTGGACAAGATCTGGGGGCGTAAAAAATTTGAACTCATGATCTCATAGTTACGAGTCTACCATCACACCACCGAACTATCCATTTCAGGACCTAATACCTATTCTTGTTGATTGAAGGGTAATTGAACCAAAAACAAAGATGACAAGGCTAAATATTATTCCTCACACTTAATTTCAATCACATCAACACTCTTTTGTTCTAGGTGGAAGATCTTTCTAGAATCAATAAAAATTAATTAATATTCTTGGAAAACAAAAAGTGTAGAAACTATAATGAGAACTATATATACATCAGACAAGGCACATTAATCAACAATCATTTATTAGGTTGGAGAAGTTGATACAAATGAATAATAATAATAATTAAGGAGCAGGAGCAGGAGCAGGAATGAGTGTGGCTACCAGGTGCAGCAGCAGGAAGAATTACCACTACTAGTGTTACCCGTACTGAACTTGAAGATGGAAAAGGGCGAGCAGGAGAAGGAGGGAAGATGTCCCGTTGTTCGGATGTAGTCTGCCTGCTCCGATGTTTTCACTTCCTTCTCCTTCAACTTGGCCTCCGCATTAGCCCGTCTCTCCTCCGCCATCCGCCGTGCTGCTCCCACTTTGTTCCTGTACTTCTCCTGCGCCCCTGATTTCATTCTTTCTGCCTTCACCTGCGTGTGTGCGTGCAAGATCCAACAATTCATTAATTTAATTTAATTATACTCCATAATTTTTACTTATTTTCTTCATAAACTAAAAGTTGTTTTTATTAATGCCGGCGTGGCATGCCATCGCATACCTCCTTCTTCCTCATTTCCTTTTCGGCTTTCCTCTTCTGCTCATTCTCCCATGCCTGAATCTTCATTTCCTCGCGCTTGTACCTGTATTGCAGTTTAGTAAATGTCATCTGTACATTTAAATCCAATTCCATCTTGCTACATAACATACAATCATTATTCAGATGGACTGTAAATAAGCTATAGAAGTAATATACACTGTGCTCACCTTGCCATGTACTTGGCGCGCTCGGCCTCCTCCCAAGCCAAAGCCCGGCTTTCCAGCGCATTATTATTATTATTATTATTAGTGTTACTACTAATTATGTTACCAGTACCGGCAGCCGCGTTGCTTCCTGTTGTAACAGTAGCGGTAGCGGTGGTAGTATTGCTCTCCCTGTCTACCGATTCGGCGGCGCCAGCTGTCCTCGTCACATAATTATTTTGATTATGGTTATTGGTTTCCCTGACCCTGACCCTGACAGGGGAAGAGATGGGGGTTGTTGCGGCGGGGGTAGTGGCCCTGATGGGCGTGGCTGTTCGGGATGGCTCCTGGCTGGCGATGGGCGTCATCTCTGTCCCCGTGTCCCTCATAGTCATACTCATGGGTGATCGCACACTCACACACTTATTCACAACCTCATCATCATCATCATGCTTGTTCATTCTCCACATGCTGCTTCTGGTGATCGTCGTCGTGTCGCTGCAGTTCACCACAATATTCTTAGTGGTCTCCTCCAACTGATTTTCGGAGTCAGAGTCGGAATCCTTCTTGGGCACTTGGGGGGCGATCAGTCGTCGGTCCTCGGCGTTGGAGTTGCGCGGGGAGGCCTTGGCTGCTGCTGCAGGATGTTTCTGATTGACTAGCCATTTCTGCGCATCGTCCCACTTGGACGGCGTCGGCTTCCCCATGGCTATGCGCTGCTGCTGCTGGTGCTGCGAAGGTGTCCGCGTCAATAATAATCCGCCATTCCCATTCTGGAACTCAAAATTCACACAGTTCGTCCACCCCGAGATCTCATCAACAATACTGCTCTCGCTCTCGCCATTATCGTTGTTCAACCACCCTTTATCCTCTACAGATCGCATCCTCAGCCTCAGCTCCTCTCTCAACCTCCCAACCACTAAACTAACTAACTAATTAATTAATTAATATCATCCCCCGCCCCCATTCCAATAATCCTAGCTAATATAGATCACCGTCACTCACACGTTCCATGTATCAATCCATCTTGCCTAGCCTAGCCTAGCCTAGCTAGCTATCTCAAAAAAATCCTAAATAAACCAAACCAATCCAAACCCACACACACAATTAAAGGCAAAGTTAAGTAAAGCAAGGGCAACAAAGTTTAGCTAGTAGACAACGTACGTACATCTTCTAGGGCATATTAAATTGATAAAAAGGAAGTGTGGCTAGGCTAGGAAGGAGACAAAACTTTCGATAACTGGCAGGAAGACCCTACAGTACGGTGCAGGCTGCACCTACCGAGTGGGTAAATTAAAGAAGCTAGCTAAGAAACAAGTACGGCTGCACGCCAACTTCCATATGCATAGTAACCGCTGGTAAATTAATTAATTAATCAATTAATTAACTCTTGCGGAATCAACAACAGTAAAAAGAATAATTCCCGAAAATCGATGATAATAATAATAATAATAATATATACGTGCACAGATAGAAATGCGGTTTGTCATGTAGCAGGAAGTATGATGTGCCGAGAGCGAGAGAGAGAGAGAGAGAGAGAGAGAGAGAGAGAGAGAGAGCCCCACGGTTTAATTGATTCATTACCCATACCCGTACCCATACCCATACCCATACCTCCATACCAAACCATTCCATCTTTGAAAAGCCACATGAGTATTGCCATCATTCACCATCATCTCATAAATTATTAATATCATATCTCTCTCTCTCTCATGCAAAAAAAGAAGCATGATGGGCTGGTGACGCAGTCTAATTAAATAATAATTAGTTGCTAAGATAGACAGATCCTACGACTGAATGCAATTATATTCCATCCAGCTCTAGCTCTAATTTATGTAATACTGTAAGAAAGCAGTGTGTGAGTGAGACCTGAGGAATCCAATGAAGTGTCTGTCTGTCAGTCAGTCAGTCAGTCAGTCATGTGCGGGCGGGCAGGAAATGTATATATTATATATATGTATGTCAGAGAAGAGGGAAAGAGAAAAAAAATAAAAAAGAGAGCGGAGAGGGGCCTTGGCATTGTGGTCTTGTCTAGTTGGGTTGGATGTATTTAATACTCCGTCTTCACATATTTTATAATATTTTTTATTTTGATAATGTTTTATATATTATCTAATATTTTTAAATTCAAAATAATTAATTATTTTTCTTTCAAATTAAAGAAATTTTTTGAGTTTAGTAATAAATTAAAAATAATACTCCCTCCGTTACAAACACCGTGCAATATTTCCTTTTTGATATGTCTCAAACATCTTACTATATTTTCAAAATAAAAAATAATTAATTATATATAATCTCTACCCTACACTTATCTCTTCGCATCATCCAAATAAAAAAATAAAATATATATTTCTCTCTCCATCACATCACCTAATTTCTAAATTATTATACTTAATACTACCCACCTAAAAACTAGTGCCAAAAATAAATGTTGCACCTTGTTTGACACGGAGGGAGTAATATTTTATTAATCCATAAAAATGTAAGTTTTTTTTCTTAATTTTTGCATTTTAATTTTATATATAAAATAATTGTACTTATAGTAGTATGTTTATAATTTAAGTAAAATTAAGAATATTTTAGTATGTATGTATGATTATATTTTCTAAAATATAAAAGAGATATTTGAAATGATACAGACAAAAATAGTAAAAATATATTATGAATATTTATGAAGAGAGTATTTTTTATCTAATTACATTACTTAAATAAAAAAATAATAAATATGCATTTTTTTTTATTTATTACATCTTATTTCTAATTTATTTTATTTAATACTATTTATATGAATTTAAAAAAATTTCTTAACGAAAATTTAATATTTCACCAAACGTAAAAACAAGAAATTATTAAATTGTGTGTGGTACACGTACTACACATGGGGTGGGGAGAGGAGGATGGGCAACCTCTGACGTCGACTGTGGCAATGGCAATGGCATCTGCTGCTGCTGCTTAAATGAAGGTGAAGGTGACAGTGATAGTGATGTGGATACACGTACATTTTGGAGATTAAAGATGCTATCAATTCCATGGTGGATAAGTTTATACTTTCAGTTTTTGGTTATGCATTGTTTCTTTGTGGTATGTATGTGCGTAGTGTACCTAGCTACATAATTTTTTTTTTTTTTTTATTTTTTTTTATGACGTAACATCTCGCACCTAATCGAAACTAATATCCTTTAAATTAAGTTCGATAGGCAAGTTACACTAGGCGAAACATGTATGAGAGATGACTTGAGACGTCGGAAATTTGAACACGTAACCTCACGGTTATAAATCCAACCCCACACCACCAGACCATCCCTTACGGGACTACCTATTTAATTGTTTGTTTATTGGAGACGGAGAGTATAAATGCATGTGTATGGCGATGGCAACATGTGATCAATGAAAGCCTCCAAAAACAAAGCCTTATAAGCCTGTATGTATATTTATATATATATATATATAGGTATATGTATAATATATCATTTAATTCCATGTGCCTGCTGATCCGCCTCGCCGTTAACAATTCCTTAAACTGTGCCTGTGCTGTCTGCATTGGATTGGATTGAATTCTTTCTCACCGCGCGCATCCATCCTTTTTCGTGTTATTCCGTGCCCTACTTTTCATCAACTCTTTCCTTTCAACATTTACCAATAAATTAACCTTCACCTCTCATTTATTTCATTAGCCATATTGGTAAAACTGTTGGAGCAAATTTTTTAGATCATTATTATTGATTATTAGTATATTTTTAGAAATAATCCAAAATCAAGAAATGGATAAGTGAAAGGAATATCTTACAAATATTGGATGCCAAAGAGTTTTCCAAAAAACCTCTCCATAACCAGCTAAACATAGCTTTAAAGTGTTCCATACTGAAACATTGGCCAAGAAATACCGAGGACCACTGCGGAGGGGCCTATGGCGCGCAAATACAAAGAGGCTAGCTGAGACCCTTCGAGACATTCCGTAACCTCTCAAAATGTTCTGAAACCTTCCAAAATATTATAGATTCTTCTGTAATATTTCAGAATATTCTAAAAGTACCGAGATCGCCCTTTGACCGTGTTGGCATCCATTTATTAGACATAGTTTATTTGTATTTCCTTATATAGCTATATTTATCCGTAACTTATATAAATAGAGTCTATCCGAGTGTGTATATGTTTTGACCTATATTAGGCCCGGTCCGTTAGAGTGTCTATATATAGAGGAGGATTTCTCAGTTGTACTTCTGTTGATGCAGGTTTTCAACACTAAAAAAGTAAAATCCGAAAATAGAAATTATCTTCGAATTTGATAAAATAAATATCTGAGATTAAGAATCCCTAGACACTGTACGATACATAAGAAAAATTGAAAAGAAATACTACAGACTGTAAAAGTAAAAGGATGATCCCCAAAAGAAATTCATTGAATTTGATGTCTATTGAAGATACCGCTTTTAGGTCGTGAAAAGACCTATTTAAAAACCCATATCAACCGCCCAAATGTAGTTATCAGATCATGCCTTCATATCCGATTGCCAATTGTAACTTCTTCCAACCGCCTTGGAACTGCTTTTCATACGACCTGCACGTCCATTGCTTGTTCTCCCTTTGCCCGTCTTCCAGTTGTCTGACCTCCGCATCGGCCGCTTCATTTTTCTTCGTTCGACTTCCTTTTTCCCGACATCTATGCCAACCGACCTAAATGCCTATTGTCTCTATTTCCTTTGTCCGACCTCTCCTTGTCCGACCTCTATATCCACCGATCACCTAGTCACAGGTTCTCCCGAAAAAACCAATTTTCTTAATAACGCCTTGACCATTAGGCCTATAGTCAAACCCATAGTCTAATTTATAACTCTATTCTCGCAAACTCTACACATTGGTTTTCCTTACTCAACAACTTGCCTCCTCCCGCCCGACTCCTAAGCGTCACATTTCGGACTATGTGAGATGTGATGTTTAGGGGTTTGTAGCAGAGTGCCATCATTATACTGTTTTATGTCACATCGTGGAGTTTATGAAAAAACCCTTCTCTCACCCTTCCATATTCACGCACTCAGAATTCTGAAATCCTTCATTTTCTCTCCAGCGAATATCCTTCAAAACCTCTTCTCTTTCATTTTCTGTATATCCTTCGCATATGGCCAACCAATATGTCCCTGCTCTTCCTTTCGACGGGACTGACCCATCGGTCCCCTTTGTAGCTTCAAGGGTTCTCACCCCCACCGTTCCCCCCAATTGTACCACCAACGAAGATGTCGATCGTATGAAATCTGTCATCTCTCAAGTTTCTCCGATGTCCATAAATAATGCTGCTTTCAAGCGGGAACGACTTCTGAACAGCATCAGGACTCACCTCACCGATCCTAAAGATGCCTACCGTAAATGGCATGCGAGACTGCGCCCCCACTATCAAGAACAATGGATGAGGCAGGGCATCGACAAGGCCATCCTTCTATCAACCCAGCCTCTTCACCTCCATGATAAGGCCCTGTTGGCGATGGCAGCCTTCTGGCACGCACATATGGGAGTTTTCTTTCTCCCTTCTGGTCCCATTGGCCCTACCCTTATGGACGTGGCCCTTATTGCCCACTTACCTATAGTGGGCGACGATCCTGTCCTGGTCTCTTTCGAGGGCTGGGAGCCCTCACCCGACCACACTGGTTGGGCCCTCGTCAAACTTGCCGAGAAGGAGAGAGGCTGGACCAGCTTTGTCACCAAAGTTTTTGGTGAGGAAGGCACCCCTGTGTCCGAGTTGGAACACACAGTGTTCCTCCTTTTTTGGCTATGCAGGTACACTTTCTTTCCCTTATACTTTTCTATGTAAATTCAAAGTCAGATATTCAGTTGAGTTTTTCTTTCTTCACAGATATATAATTCTTTCTCCTTCCAAGCTTGTTCTTTCTTCCCATGTTGATCTGGCCATTCATCTAGCCAGTGGCCAGTTTTTTTCTCTAGGAACCTTATTTTTAGCTAACCTTTTTGAGGGTTTATCCAGAGTGAGCGCCCGCCTAACCGACACCAAAAAGGCGGACACAGCTGCTTCAGGACCATTTTGGTTCCTGGAACTGTGGCTTCGCCTATACTTTCTGAACGCATTTTTTGGCCGACTTCCTATTAGCCCGAACCCTCAGAGATCAATAGGTTTTGCTTTAGCCCAATTAACTCCTAGTTCCTTTAATCTCCATTCATCCGATCCTGTCATCACCTAAGTTTTGACTGAAGACCGAAGTAACTCCCGTTATTATGTTTATGAAACTCTCGCCCAATATGCCACCGACCTTTTTTGGCTCTATCCCAACACTTCATATCCCTGCTCTTATCCTGATCCTCTTCCCCATCTGACCTATCCTTCTCATGGGATTCTGC